TGGGGTGGGAATGGAGATTTTGCAATATCCTTCCCCTAGGAGTGGGGAGGGAATGGGGATTTTGCAGTATTCTTCCCCTGGAGTGGGATGGGATTGGAGATTTTGCAGTATCCTTCCCTTGCCACGCCCACCAAGCCATGCCCACAGAACCAGTAGTAAAAAAAATTGGATTTCACCACTGGTCCAATCCCAGATTAGTAACAGCATTGTACATGGTTGTATGAATTGGTTCTGTTGTACATTCATTTAGGGTTAATAAGAGGTAGATTGAGGTCACCAAGAAATATAAGAGGGTACGGGCAAGAGGCTGCCCATGTTAGTAGTGAAGTTAGTTTGTTCGCATGTACAAGGTCGTAATCAGGGGCTCTATAAAAAAGTAAGAAGTGAAATGTGGTGTTTAGGGAAAGGTCGCATACGATGGTCTCAGGAAGAGCAAGCTCCTGTGTAACTGGGTGGAGCATAGTATCCTCCCCTCAGTGAGACTGTGGGTCCACATCAAACTGTATATCACATCTGATTTGTGACCAGCTGTAAGTTGAAGGCATACACTGATCTATTATCTGATTTTTTTTTCATATAAACAATGCTGTGCCTCAGTGGTTAGATGGCGTAGACATTGGTATTTGAACACAGATCTTTTTAACATTTATAGTTAATTGTGTTTTACTAATCTAGGTGAAATGTTAATATATATTGCTAGTCCATGCATGATATGCCATAGGCTAAATAAATAAATATCTTATACTTCTATATCTGGTTTACTTATAGACTGAAAGATTTAAAAAATAATCCTGAAGAACAACTAATGTGGTCTGGAATAAAGAAGAATTCAACTAAGTTCTTATTACTGCTCACCTGTTAATTTATAAGACCTGGAAATTGCTGATGCTATAAATTTTCATCATCAAATGGAAACTGTAGTAAATAACTAGAATTTATCAGACAATAAAAGAAGTGACATACAGCAGAGCATATGCTTTGCAGATTCATTATGCAGTTAATTGATCTTTCATAGCTTAAGTAGGGAGGATTCAGAAGAGGATCAAGTTAGACAGGTTACCTTAAGTCTGGCTAAGGCAGCTCTAAATTGAGAAAATAAAGTATTTTGTTTTTCCCAAACCTATAATTCTAATTGAATTTAAACTTTACAGGAAGCAAGTTCATTCCTAAGATACTTCCTGAGATCCCCATCCTATACACGTTTATTTGGAAACAAGTCCAAGTTTAATACCAATTTTATTCTTTGTTTACAGTAGCCCTTACAACTTTGTTTTCTTCAGTAACGCAGAAGATTTGTAAACGATTAAGTTGTCATATCGTTTCGTGAATCCAGGTAATAAAACAATTCAGAAACATATGAAATAGTCCACAAGGATAAAGTACTTCTTTTCGTTTGTTGGTTTTATGTATACTGTGCTCAAAGTTTACCCAAACTTCAGAAATCCAAACTTTTGCAGTTTCTTTTAGATTGCACACATGAACACACATGCCTACACACATGAATACACGTATGCCAGTTGGAGATGATCAAAGCCCTGAAGTTCTTCCAGATGATGGAACTATGCAAATGGTGGTGAAAGATGATACACCACATGACGTTGCAACCAGAAAATTATAATTTTAATATATCTATGGCTATTCAAGAGGAAGGGAACATGGAATGCCAAATGCCAATGGCTATATCTTTATGCCAGCAACATTATACCTTGGATGGAGAAGTGGGATTTAAAGAAATAAATGCTTCAGAAATACCATATCATTGCTTTATGCATCCTGGTTCTTGGTTTGTCCTTTTAGCTCCTAGAATCCTGGCATATGATTTTGCAATTTTTGAAATGCATAATTACAAGCATGTTAGCATTAGCAGCTTGGAAGGCTACAGAAGTTTGTTGCCAAAGAATGGAGAGAAATCTCATCCCAAAAAATTAAAAGATGAAAAAGTTCAAGGAAAACCTGAACCTTATTCTTCAGTCAAATCTAACCTGGCAATCAAAATAATGGGCAGAGACAATCAAAGCATGGAAAAACTTGGCCAACCAATTAGGACTGTGGAAGTTTCTTTTTTGGTGAGTTTTTAAAAGGAGGAAGGACAGCTCCACTACTTTTTTCATTTTCATCCACAGGCAGAGAAAAGTTGCTTCAAGCCAGGTAAGCAAAACCCTGATCCTCAGGGTAGGTTGAAGAACAAGAAAAAATAGAATAATCTAGGAATTATTGGAAGCTATATACTGATTACAATGCTGGTTTATTTATGGAAAAGTATATGAGCTGTGATGCCTTTGTTCTATTTTATCCTGACTTTGCTGTGGACATACATGCCTATGTATGCCTCTTGCTGTCTCTGGCTGCAACAAAGATGACAAGCCTTCCATACAAGCTTTCCATAATGAAATTAGATTTTGATCAAGTTCATACTGTTTCTAGAACTGTTCCCAGAACTACATATTTTGACTGATATAAATGATATGGAGATTCTCAATCATACAGGTCACGGTTGTCCCAAAGGTGATTTTCAAAAGGCAATTGGACTTTCTTGGGGTTTTTTCCTTGAAACGTTTTGCTTCTCATCCAAGAACTGAAGACCAAGAAAATCCAGTTGCCTTTTGAAAAGCACTTTTGGGATAACATATATTAATTTCAACTTCATTCACCAGCTTCCAGTTTGGATATGAGCTTTCCTGGGTCCTATATTTTAGAGCTGCTTGTTTGTTTTTTGTAAGAATGGATCTAACAGTTGATTTATCCATTATGCTAATCCTATAGTTTACTTATGCACAGTGAATTGAGTAAGCTACAACTAGCTGGTTTCATACAGATGTAGAATTGCAAAATTGTAAAATGGTTTATAAACCACAATTATTTAGTTTTCATTATGTGCTAATCCCAAACCTAATTCCTCATCTATAATGAAACATCTGGAAAAAGAAAACAGAATGAGTTGGAAGGCACCTTGGAAGTCTTCTAGTCTCAACACTCTGCTCAGGCAGGAAGACCTATACCAGTGATGGTTAACCTTTTCGGAACCAGAACCCAGAAGAAAGCAGCTGTCCGGCACGCATGCACGTGACGGAACCCGGAAGAACAGCTGGCGATGCCACACGTGCCCACAGAGAGGGCTCTGTGTGCCACATCTGGCACGCATGCCATAGATTCGCCATCACAAACCTATACCATTTCAGACAAGTGGTTGTCCAATCTCTTCTTAAAAACTTCCAGTGTTGGAGCATTCATACCTTCCAGAGGCAAGTCGATCCACTGATTGATTGTTCTGTTAGGAAATTTTTCCTTAGTTCTAGGTTGCTTCTCTCCTCGATTAGTTTCCATCCATTGCTTCTTGTCGTGCCTTTAGGTACTTTGGAGAATAGATTGACCCCTCTTCTTTGTGGCAGCCCCTCAGATATTGGAACACTGCTACCATGTCATGCAGTGGTGGGATTCAATAATTTAACAACCGGTTCTCTGCCCTAATGATTTCTTCCAACAACCAGTTTGCCAAACTGCTCAGAAAGGTAACAACCGGTTCTCACGAAGTGGTGCGAACTGGCTGAATCCCACCACTGATGTCTCCCTTAGTCCTTCTTTTCATTAAACAAGATATACCTAATTCCAGCAACCGTTCTTTATATGTTTTAGCTCCAGCTCCTACAGCTAAACATACCAGCCCTGAGTTACATATACAGTATTTGTCTATTGTCTCCAATCATACTACTCATACATATTCATTCAATATAGCTAGTTACTACTGAGCCAAAATTTCTGTTGCTAAGCAAGAGAATTGAGTTTTACACCATTTTACAATCTTTCTTGCCACAGTAGCTAAGTAAATAACTGCAGTTGTTAAATTAGTAATATGATTGTTAAATGAATCTGGTTTCCCTATTGACTTTGCTTGTCAGAAGATAGCAAAATGTGTTCAGATGACCCTGGACACTGCAATCATCATAAATACATGCCAGTTGCCAAGCATCTGAATTTTGATCATGTGGCCATGGAAATGCTACAATGATCATAAATATGAAACAGTAATAGATCACTTTTTTCAGTGCCATTGTAACTTCAAAAGGTCATTAAACAAATGTTTGTAAGTTGAGGACTACCTGTAAGGTAGCATCACCATCTTTTCTTCTTCTCAGTGCACTCAGCAGAAACATTATTCTGTAGTCTCAAAATGCATTGACCTATGTGACAGCCATTACCTTGTAGATACCAGCCATGATTTGCACACAACCTGATTCAATGCTTTCAAGAAACTGACCCTTCGGGCATATATGCACATAGAGAAGGGAGCACAGGATGTGGTTCTTTTTATTTATAAATTACCTGTGTTTTTGATCTTTGTTTTTTGGTTTATTTTCTTCCTGTAATTTCCACTTTATTTGTCAGTCCCATTCTTGTATCTTCAACTAGACTCTTTGAAATAGGAGATAAGCTCTTTCAGGAATGGTGACCTCAATTCTCTTTTTTTCCTGTACATAGTTCCATAGGTTACACATGATATGAATAAAACAAAGTAGCTTATTTTTCATTGAGGCTCTTCATATCAGAGATACAATAATAATTTTTACTAGTTTTTTTTTTTCAGTTGTTGCAGTTGGCAAATGCTTTTTTCCTAATCCTTTAAGCTCCCTACTTTGTTCCTGGATCAAATATCTGCTCTTCCCTTCCTCCCCACAATTAATTCTCCTTTGAATTTACTTCATCTGAAACTTCCAGTTTGCTAATCCCACATTCAACCTCAGTGCAACTATGTTTATGCAATCTCTCTACCAGTTTAAGTTTAAATGTGTTGGCAGTCAAAATCAGAAGAAAGCATGGCACGTCGGTTCTACAAATTATTATTTACCTCAGTGATAAGATGCTAACCTTCTTGGACACAGAATATCTAACCAAAAGGGACTTTGTGTGGACTTCTAAGACTGATATTTTTCCAAACTCAAGATAGGACAACACAAATTTTTCAAAAGACCCCCAAGAACAGAATATTCACAGAATATACACACCTCTGACTTTCTTCTTGCAATTTCCTAGGTCAGGGTCCCCTTTTTCAATCATTCTTTTATGTCTGATGAAATCAGCAGCCCAGGAGATCTGTGGAAAACACAAACCACTGATTTGGTTTATTGTCTTGAATGAAAAATATGGATCCATTTCATCATTTCAGGGTTTTTTAAAACACTGAGTGGTCTGGAATTGCATGTGGCTATAAGCCTCCTCCCCTTTTTCTTGTCTCTGCCTCCTCCTCTTCCAGAGATAGAAGGCAATGTGAAAATAGAAATATCATTAGGAATTAAATGTTAATGGAGTTTTTGAGCTGAGGTAATCCACAACCTCTCCTTAAATCAGCAGAAAGCTGAAGTGGCATGAATCTTGCCAACCTCATTGCTAATCCCTATGCTGCTGTCTGGATTGTCTCTGTCTCAAGTCCCAGCAGTCTCAATGCTTCCTTCAGGATGTCAGCCAAGGTGACAAAGTTTCACTGATTTGATATACTCTGAGGATACTAGACTTGGAAAATCTTATGTTCACATCAGTACAATTAAAGACAACATAATCCTATTTCAGACATGGGCTAAGAATAAGATAAAAGCAACTTCAAAGAGAAAAAAAAATTAGAAGAGGTAGGATCGAGGAGAGAAGAGCTCCTTCTCATGTCTGTTCCAAGTAATAATGGTCAGATAATGTTGTATTGATTGTCACGTGTGCTCTTTGTTATTGGTTCTCCTTTCTGGTTTACTTACCGCTGTTTCCCAACAGTAAGTCACCAGCCCGCAGAGGGAAGCAAGGCATTAGAGCAGAAATAATATAAGTTTTTAAGGCCTTTTTGTCTGCTTCTCTCCTCTATATCCCATTGGACATCCTCCAAGTTAAAATGTGAAAAAGATGGGAAGATACCAGGGAAGGACAGAAATTTGTCTTTTTCTTAGCTTTTTTTAGTTGTCTGCTTTCAGTGGTGTATAAATGTAGTTTCTTTCTATATATGTTGATGACACATGCTTTTAATGAAACTCTCAATTTTCCGCATTTTTGTTTCTGTCTACTGACCTTTTGGATTTTTGCAGGGCAGCAATGCAAGCTCTACCCCTAGAGCAACGTTTCTCAAAACTTCAGCAACTTTAAGATGCATAGATTTCAACTTTCAGGATTTCCCAGCAAACATAGGTATTTAGGAAATAAAAGTCCACAAACCAGTTTGAGAACCAGTCTGGTCAAGTGGTTAAGGTATCAAGCTAGAAACCATTAAGACTGTTGAGTTTTAGTTCCACGAAAGCCAATTAGTGTCATGAAAGCCAGCAGTGTGACCTTGGGCCAGTCCCTCTCTCCAGTGATGGGTTTCAAATTTTTTTACTACTGGTTCTGTGGGCGTGGCTTGGTGGGCGTGGCAGGGGAAGGATACTGTAAAATCTCCATTCCCACCCCAGTCTGGGGGAAGGATACTGCAAAATCTCTATTCCCTCCCAATCAGCTGGGACTTGGGAGGCAGAGAATAGATGGGGGTGGGGCCAGTCAGAGTTTTTACGGTTCTCTGAACTATTCAAAATTGCCGTTACCGGTTCTCCAGAACTGGTCAGAACTTGCTGAAACCCACCTCTGCCTTTCTCTCAACCCAGCCTACCTCACAAGATTGTTGTGGAGAAAAAAAGGAGAGAGGAGCATTATGTGCATTCCCCACCTTGAGTTATTTATTAAAACAAAATGGGATATAAATTAAATTAAACCTTAAATCCGAGGTTGAGAAACGTGGTTCTAGGTTATTTCTGACAGAGGAAGGATGACTAAGAAAGAAACCTTTACTTTCCAAAGAGTTTCCTGCATTGTCTGTAAACGTGAAGGGGGGCAGAGCAGCAACGGGGATGGTGCAGCGTGTCAGAAGGCGGGAAGAGAAGGAGTTTACTACAGAGAACCAGATTTAAATTGGTCGGCCAACCCTGCGCTCCTCTAACGACTCCTCGCATGGGAAATTTCGTTTCTTTTGGGAAATTCTGGGAATTATTGCCCACACATCTTTAAAGTTGCTGAGTTTGAGAGGCGGGGAGTGGGGGGGGGGCAGAAGAAAGCGCGCGAGGGTCACGTGTTTAACGCCTGCGGGGTGGGGGAAGACGCCACGCCCCTAACGGACATCCGCCGCTCGCGCTCACTCCCTCCGTCGCACGTGATCGGGGCCGAGATCTTCGCAGGAGGCGCCTCATTCGTTGCAAATCTCGCGAGAGGCGCCTCTTTGTTTTCCCGTTGGAGTCGTCTGGAGGGGAGGTGAAGCCCGGCTTTAGGGAGGGCGTTTCGTCAAGCTTCCAAGGGGCGGCTCGTCTCACCGTTTGGCGGCGTGGAGACAGCGACCGGGGGTTTCCGTGGTGCTGGAGCGTGCCAGAAGGGGAGGGAGAGGGGGAGATTTTGCGGCCGAGGGGCTGGGGAGTCCCGGTATCCCAGTGGACGGGGGACCCGAGTCTCTCCTCTCTCAGTCCCACCCTTGGATTACTTTGCTCTCGTCTCCTTCGCTGAAGGCCGTGCATAGGTTTATTGTTTTGCGTTGATTTATCATCGGCCCTTTATTTTGTACAAGTCGATTCGACATACCTGGTGGTGAGCTGGGTTGGGCAGAGAGACTATGGCGCTGGAGACTATGATGTTGCCAGCCCAACATCAGAGAAAACTTTTGGTAGGCTGTCTTGTTTGTTTGATAGAGCAATTGCATTTAGGTTCTGCAAGCCACCAATCTGAGCAGCAGCAGCAGCCCAACATTCCTGGTTTACCGCACTGGGTTTCCTAAACAGTGCGTATTTGGATGCGGATTTGTATTATTAATTTATCATCTCTGCACCTTCGTTATACAAACATAACAAGGCAATTTCCAATAATAATCTTGTGAAGCAACTGAGGAGCCCTTTCTTGTCTAATTTTTCATTCAATGGAGAGAAAAAAAAGACTGCTGTTTGCAGTATTGGTCTCCAAATTCAGTCTCCTGTTTCCTTCAAAGTAAAAAGGGTTGAATTAAACACCGTAGTCCAAATACATTAAGTACCCTTATAGTGAGGGCCAGGTGGGATGAGCAGATATGCCTTCTTTGATCAGTGGGAAGTGAAATACCAGGGAAAGGTGTTCGTTTGTTTGTTTGTTTTAGTTGGGAGCTGTAAGTAGATGCAATTCTCAGAATCGGTTGCTATAGTAAGATTATATGTTATTGCTGAGAATATTTTATAGGTCTAAAGCATTCAGAATACATCTGTATTGTTCTTCCATTTGGTAGCACGGATTAAGCATATGAAGGCAAGTTTGGACAGCTCAGCTTCAAGTCTTGTGTAAGATCTGCTATTTTCCTTAGCCAAAGGGAATTATTGTTGCTTGTATAAACACCATTTTAGAGTTTGTAACATCACAAAACTTATGATATTCAAGCTCATTATTATGCAGAGAAAGCAAAGAAAAATTGAGATATAAGCAGGCAATGTTCACAGAATTCGAAACTGCATCTAGTGTTTATTTATTTATTTATTTATTTGTTTCCATTTCTATACCGCCCTTCTCCAATAGGACTCAGGGCGGTGAACAGCCAAAGTAAAAAACAGAGCATACAAAATTTAAAAAACAGTATTAAAATAATTAAATATTTTGGCCGTAAATTAAAACAACCCAATTTAAAATCAATTTAAAATTTAACTCAAGCCAGCCCAGCTAGTTGAAATAAATAGGTTTTCAGGGCCCGACGAAAAATCCGGAGGTCTGTTATTGTACGTAACTTTGGGGGGAGGTTGTTCCAAAGGGTGGGCGCAGTCACAGAGAAGGCTCTCCCCCTGGGGGTCGCCAGCCGACATTGTCTGGCGGACGGCACCCTGAGGAGGCCCACTCTGTGCGAGCGTACTGGCCGGTGGGAGTGTTATGGTCTCTGAAATAGCTTCACTTAAACTTGATACCCAGTGAAAGAATCAAGGTGGTAAAAATTACCACTCTCATCTATACATGCTTCAGTAGGGTTGCTTTGGGCTCTGAATTAGTATGTAGCTCTAACTGGAAAGAAGCTTTTCAAAGTAAGTCCTCAAGTTTGACTCTGGATAAAACACACACAGTAGTGGGACCAATCACTTTGCTAAATCATTTATTTCTGAGGTTTGGAAACATTTAAGTCAGTCCATTCCATCACATGTATGAAGAAAGACCAGATTCCACAGGATGGGTGTGGGTACATTATACAATACAGCATTGTAAATCATGGTTAGGCTGTGTGTTATGAAAGCAATTCTCTTGTAACATTACAGATGACTAAATGTTATATATTCCATAGTACTATATATGATCCGGTTACCGTATTTAATTCTCAGTTTCTCAGTTGTAATTAAAAAGACTAGACTCACAAGTAGATAGTTGCCATGTTGTACTGTCATGCTTAGAGAATAGTAACTGATTTTGCTTCTCTCATTTCTTTTCTAAGAATCTGGCATCAGGCCCAATACTTGAAATTTGTGAACAATGAAACTGAAAACCAAGAATTTAATTCTGGACTACAGAAGTTTGGCAAAAATGTGTGTGCTGCCATTTGGATCAAGTGAAGCTAGATAATCAAAAGCATTATGGGAAACAAGCATGATCTTAATTCCAGGAGGATGAGGCATGTGACTCTTACACAGTAATAAAGTGACCTATCATGTCATCCAGAGAAAAAGTGTTTCCACAACCTATATTAATCTTTTTTTCCTTCAGGGAATGTAACTTGTTACCTAGACCAATAGTACATTTATATTATCTGATTTCAAATTGAACTTCCTGGCCATATCCATTCTTGTATTTACTCCTGACAATGGTGTATTACTTCCACTGTTTCTCTAAAATTAATAAACAGAAATAAGAGGAACAGCTGCATGTGCAAAGTGTTGGTACTTCATTTAGAAACCTTGCAAGATAATGTATTAATGTTATGATGCATGCTCACCCTTACCACTAATATTACTGCAGTACTATGGTTCATTGTGCTGAAAGCCATCAGAAATGTCAGGATAATATTGTTCACCTACCTTCTTGGCTCAGATCCACTAGGGTGAACAGATGAAACACATCTACAAATCAAATTAGAGCACATCCAAATAATTGGTTTCAACCTGGAAATGAAATTTAACTTATGTTCATGTATACAAAGATGACTTTTTATTTTAAAAAAGTAATACATTTTCAATGTATTGTCTATATTTTTAAAGTCTTTGTTTTTTATTCTTGTATGTTACAGCTTTAAGTTCTGTAAGTATTACGGAAGTGGTTAATACAGATGCAGGAAATAAATCTTCACTGCTTTTCTAACCATCCTGGTTATTTTGAACAGGTTGCTGTATTACAATTTGAAGAGTAACTATTTATGCTCCACCTAGATAAGATCCAAATGTTTTTTAGCGAGCAGGCAAAACTGAAATATGCCAGAAAGCAAATGTCTCACCTGCTAAGTGTCATTTGCTTCTTTTTTAATATGTGAAGTTTTTGTATTTTTATGCTTGTGCTATAATTCATTCAAAACATTCTATATTTGGCCATCATATTATTTCAGTTGTTCTACTGTGTTGCCTTCTTCTTAAGGGAGGGGTGATGTAAAAATTATGTTGAACGAGAATAGCGCAGTATCATAACATATTTCATTGTTTTGATATGCTTTGTTTCTCGAAAAGAAAGTTCAGTTACATTTGACTGATTACAAGTCTTGTACCACAGTCAAATGGTATTGATTATAGTATTCACTAATAAGGCTATTTTCTGGGACAAAATATGGGTGGATCACATCAATTCACATTATAATCTCTGAATATTGTATAAATGATTCTTTTTCCAAAACAGGTTAATGCTAATTCTGGAACATTTTAAATTTTTGTAACCATTTTAATTAATGTTAATTAATTACTCACATCTGTAAGAATGTAGAAGCACAGAAATTCACAGGAAGCATTTTAGTAAGACAAAATATTTGCCAGAGTATAGTTAGTTGTATATTTATTTGGCATTTTAACTGAAAAAATATTCAGAGGGAAATAAAGACTGAAATATTTGCCTGCAAAGGAAGTGCATGAACAAAAAGAAATTCTTCTAAACTCAGAATCCTTGTGCTTTGGTTATTCTGGTGAATAATTTCAAATCGGTAATGATTCAGCAGCAACAAAACTTGAAACATTTTGCATTATTGTACATTCTGCCTAAAAAATCCCAAGGGATTCCAGAGTGACTTTGTACAGAGTGATTTTATGCAAAAAGCACAAAGCTGATGCAACACAAAATGTTTTTCTGGATTCCGCTATCAATTTGATTCCAAATACCCACATGGAGGCTCTGTGGGCTACCCATTTGTATGCCATCTCCAGGGAAACAACCAGGATCTGCTCATCCCTATTGCCATGGCAACTGAACTCCAACTCACAATTCCCTCTTCTGTATAGTCTTGCCAGCCTTCCCATTGCTATGCAACAAGAATGGATCAGCAGCCCATTTGGGCAATCAAGGGCTGGGTTGAGGCTAACAATGCAGGTTCAGATTAAAAATTGAGTCCAATAGAAAACAGCTGTGCCTGTGAAATTTTAGAAATGAGGGTAGAGGAGATGATCAGTAGTTTTTATGTTGACAAACTTTGACTTCCACGTGGGCTTAAGGCTGTGGTTTCTATTCTGCCCCTTCTCTGTCCAGTTTCTCCATCTATGGATGTGGCAAAATAAATATTGCAAAAGTAAGGAGTGAATTTCACACTGAGTCATAAGGCTATAGTAACTGAAGGTTAAAGAAAGCCAGTCACTGTAAATAATATATTTCATCCCTTTCCATCTGTATTTCAAGACTATGTACAGTTTTTAAGCCATTATTGTGTTCTGCCGTTATAGTACACAAAAGTTTTATGGAGTGCATAAAGATAAAAGCTAATTTCAGGCATTATGTAAAAGCAGCCAAAATATTAACTGGAAAGCTTTCAGAAGCCATCTACCTGCTTTTCAAAGTTCATAGAGTGTGACTGTTCTGTGCCATGGACTTTTGACCCCGTGTTGCATTTTTTAAAAAGAAATTAGATTGTAGAAAGGCATTTAGAAAGATACTATATACATAAGCATAAAGATCAATATATTTTATAATGGGTCATATCTCCAGTTTCAAGAAATAATATATGGTGGCATTTCAGTAATTCGGATGATTAAACATCATTTTCAGTATTAATACATTCAGCAGAAGGCTCATCCTTCTCTGCTTTAATTTTGCAGAAATGTGTTTTTTCTCTATTGCCTTACTGGGCCAGCATATTAGGAACAACCTACAAATGCTTAATCTGTCTCCTGCTCAAAGAAAGGCACCTATGAATTTTACATGAAAGTTTTAATAGCTTGTTAAGGTATATGAAATATTAAATATAAAACAAATATAATACAATAGTACAGTTAAGCTCCAAATGATCATTGCTTCACAAGTGTTCTAATGCAATGGAAGTGTGTTTAGGAAAGTGCATGATTTTCAATTGGGCAAATGTTTAACTGCCACCCTAGTGCACAGATTTGACATGTATGTAAAGGGAAGAAAGTACTTGTTTATGCTTTCAGTTCTTTTTGACAAAGCTATGCATTTTCATTTGGCATAATAAATATTTTCCCCAACTGACCTGAGAAACAAGTTCAAAGAATATCTTCCTATTGTAGAAAAGGTAACATTATATCAAAGAGATAAGGAAATATGTACAGGTCTCTACAGAAAAGGCACAAAACAAATCAATGCATGCTTGAGTTGTTTGCCAGAAGAGATGTGGGAATATTTGTGCAATACAAAAAATGCTGCAAAGTGATTTAAGGACACTGATTTCATGCAAAATTGAGGAAAGGAAAAGTTAAGATTAAATAAGCAGCACAGAGCAGCTGAGAAAACAAGTTGCTTTCCTATCTTCAGGGCTAACTTTCCACTTCTCAAAGGAGGCAAAGTGATTCTTAGTCTACTTTCTGAGGTATAAATAGAGAAAGTGATAAAATGCGATTGTATAGATAATTTGATGAAGAGAAATTATGTAGTGAACTCCTTGGGATTTAAATGTGCAACTAATTGCACTTGTAAAGAAGCCCAGATCCTTGGCAAATATTTGCACAGACGTCGTTTTTGACTTTTAAGATACAAGAGAAAGGTAGGTTGATGATGGCTACCCCTTCATATTGAGCTCTGCTTTAAATAATACGTAACTTATTCCTTAGATTTCTATAACCAACCTGTCTTCATCATCACTGCTGCTTATGTCATCGTATTCCAAATGAATTGGCTTATTCATTGCTTCCAAGCTTTGCTTTTGTTTAGATGGCGTTCCAGGTAAGGATTTAGTTGAAACTGACATCTCGGTAAGTCTTGATGTGAGCGAAACAGGACATAGACTCTGGCATGTGGGAGCATGTTGCTCTTTTAAAGAAGGATACAAATCTCTCTCCATTAATTGTTCTGTTCTTTCTGTAGTAGGAATGGGGGGCTCTAGAATGATAACATTTTTATCCTTTGATTCTAAGTTATTACAGCCTCTTTTTGAACAAACAAAAAAAGGTCTAGTAATCTGAGATCCAACAAAGTTACACAGCTGGTTCTTTGTATCTTTGAATTCCAAATGATAAGGTTCAGTAGACGGTCTGTTGTACTCAGAATCTACATCTGGGTGTTGTTCTTTTGGAAAGATTTCCAAGGAGCAACTACCTAGACTGCTGGGTTTTTCTGCTGATACATTATTAGACAGTGGACAGGAGTATGTAGGTACTTCTCGGATTGTAGAAATTCTTGGAAGAAATAAGCTGTCACTTGAGCATTTGTTAAGTCCAGGTGTGTCCTACCAGACATAAAGAAGAAATTTATCAATTCATCAGTTGCTATAAACTACTAGTAATATGTATGTCACTGAATTCCACTTTCTGGGGGAAGAACAATGAGGCATTAATACATCCTTGACCTGCTTGAGGATTTCCTCACAGCAGCTGATTGGGAAGAGAATGTTGGACAAGATCTGATTAAGCCAATACAGCTGTCCTCTAGAATACTAACAGCATCATTGGCAAGAATGTCTTCCCATGACATGCTTTGTGTTAAGTATCTCATGCAACTTGTCTTGTAACTAATTGTGAAATTAAGTGTTTACCGAGACACTTGGTCTACCCCAACCTGTGGGAGGGGGCATTCTGCTCCCTTTCGCCTTTCAGCTCCAATCCAATAATTGTGAAATATATATTTTCGCAAAAAATTAGATTCCATAAGAATGGCCACAATACAATAAATCTTTTTAAGAATTAATTTACTTAATATTAACTGAATATATTTAGCCATTGATCATCATGAATGCTACAACAATACAATATCGTACATACTATTCTTTCTTGGTACTAAATAATTAGTACCAAGCAAAATGTATTCCACTCATTATCCAATACTTTACAACTTTTAATAGGCTCTTTAATCTTGTCTTTCCAAGTTCTTCCTAACAATATTCTGCATTCTAAAGATCCTCTCTTATTTTCTTAATATGGCCTATCAATGCAAAAATTTTATTTGATGCATTTTAAGCAGATGTTACTATTCATTTGGTGAACAATCAAGTTAATAACCCACGTCAGATTAACATGAAGTATCTGATTTAGCATGGGAAAAAATGTCATGCATAAGTCACTCCTTACTTGTTTCATCTTATCCTCTTCCAAATGGAAAGCTACTTTATCCGTTGAGCTGTAATGTAGCTGTTGCAGATTTTTGTCATTTCCTATTTGGAAAAAAATACTTTTATTTACTGATGCTGATACACTTACCCGTTTCTCAGAAAAGAGTAAATATGGATTTTGTTTAAATCTGATTTCACTGTTAATACATTTGAGAAATTGAATAATTTATAGGCATCTCTTTAATTTTAATTAGTTAAGATAACTTTACTAATTTATTCCCAAGGGATAAAAATGGGTTAAGATGTAATTTTAATTGTGACTTCAATTATGGTCTTAAATCAAGCACTACCTGTATGTACAAATCATACATAAAGTTTTAAAGATCAACATTTAATTGAAACCAGAACTTTTCTTGCTGGAATGAATGGACCATCAATTAGAAAAAAAGTCATGGAAAATTATGTACAAAAATTGGAAGATTCTGAAATAAATCACAACAGAGGAATGGTTGGTGAAAATGACAGAACTAGCAGAGATGGCAAAACTAACTTGTTTGATTAGAGAAAAAGCAATATATATCACTGACTAGAAACTGCTTATGGACTTTTTGTCAGGAAAAAAACCAAAAATGTGATTTATGGGTTGAAGATTATAAACAGTAGTTTATTGAAAAGAAAATTATGAAGTAACCTTAAAAAGAGTGTAAAATATAAATGCATTTATAATCGGTCAAAAAGATCTGAAGTTGCTTCTTTATCATCTTTTTATTTATTTCTATTTTCTTTCATTTTCTCTTATTCACAATTCTTTATTTTCTGTTTCTAATATTGCTTTGTTAAAATTTTCTTCATTAAAATTATATTTTAAAATATAAGTATATTAAAGAGGTTTGATCCTAGAGAATGAATGAGAATCAAATTGTACAATGAATATACAAGGAAAAAATGGATTGAGAGAAAGGGGGGGGAATAATGGGAGGAGTTCACGGAATCCTTAAGAAGAGACCGATGAAAAGTATGAAGAATAAAAAGTAGAATGTGAAGTTGTACAGAGATGTGATGGAAGCAAGGGTGGTTTATGGAATGGTGATGCTCAAATTATTCCACATTGCCTCTAATACTGGGAAAGGTGGAAGAAAAGAGAAAAAGTAGAAAAAAGGACAACCAGGAGCAAGGTGAATAGACTATCCATGTGGTTAGTAAAAATTGATGACAACTTAATGTCATAGTCAAGAAATGGTAAATGATGTAAATTGGATGTAACCCTTTGCTATCATGCCTATCATATCTTTTGCTGATTATTTCTTACTTTTTTTCTGTTTTTCCATAACTGCTTTCATCAAAAGAAAATAACGCAATGGGGATTTCTACATTCTTATGGAAAATTTGTATGGCAACAAATGTAAAGTGGCAACAAAGTCCAATTCTTACATAGCTCTCCAAATTATTTTTATAACTATGGAAGATAAAAAATAGATTAGTTCATGTTCATAATTTGTCTTACTACTTGAATTCTAAGATCTGAAGAATACAGGATAGAATTAAGAAATCCAGTACGAAAGTTTTTTCTTTTCTTACTGCAGTAGAAAAGCTGGGCCTGGTAAATTATATGCTTAAAAATTCAAGTTATGTTCTTTACCATAACCTATTATAAATTCAAAGTCTCCAAGGAAATTGACATTAAGGAGCTAATTCAGGATGACTAAAAAAAATTTGAAGCTGGAAAAAAATGACCCAAACAAGAAACTGACCAAAGCCTAAAACCAAACCCCAAGTATAATTCAAAGAAAAACTGCACAGGAATCCTGGAGCACATGTAAACATCATAGAAATTGAAAATTAATATCTTATAATAGCAGTCCTATCATTACATTGATTACTACCAGGCAATATAACATTTCAATATTTCAATTTGCTTTAACCTGCCTTCAAGTCCGTTTTTACTCCTGGCAACTGCCTGGGCTAGTCCCTGCAGTCTTCTTGCCAAGATTTTAGAATTGGTTTGCCATTACCACCTCCTTAGAGTTGAGAGAGAATGACAGCCCAAAATCAGGCTGTTGGTTTTATAACTAAAATAAAACTAGAACTCAGGGTCTCCTGGTTTCTAGTTTGTTGCTTTAATTACTATACCAAATTCTCTAGTTATCTTAACAAATATCTTATTATCTAGTTATCTTAACAAATATCTTAGCAAAGAATGTAGTAAAATATGTTCAGGGTGAACTATCAGGTTCTGCAGGATGACTGTTAAGTCCAAGAAGTCTGGGCAATGGCCTAAGGGGATCCTACAATCTGTTGGGATCTTCGAATGAGGGATTTTTCAGGACAGATGTTGGAGGAAATCCTTAAACTCCAAGTAGCTTCCCTTAGTCTTCATTTTCTTTTATTCATATCCTGCCTTTCATTTAATAGATTATGGCAACATATAGAAGACTCTCCCATATTTTTCCCATCAACAATAACCTTGTGAGCAAAGATGTCTGCAAGATACCCTCAAAAAAGTCAAGAGGCCACAAGGGTACAATTGAAGCTGCCCCTTTTTTTAAATCTGCGCTGCATTAAAAACAGAACTCTGATGATACCATTATGCCAATCAACTTGACTTTTTCAACCATACAATTCTGCCTGTATGGTATGCTGGATCGATGGAGAATGATTGCTGAAATGCAGCCATTGAGCCTTCTATGGCTGCAATTATTTTTTTTCAGACATATTGATAAGCTTTCTTCCCAGGTTAAAAGTCCATCAAAAAAGATTATTAGATTGAAGAAAAATGTGAAGATGATTTAGTTTTTATTTTCTATGTTACTCTGTTATGGCAAACTGAATACCAGAAGTAAGGGCAAATATCCATGTCAAGGAGCAGGAATTTGCAAACAAAACGACCCCACAAATGTTACTCTTGACATTTTTTGTCATTTTCCATTTCCCCTCCTATCTAATTTACCTAGTGAAGTCGTTGGAAAACAATGGCATTTTCCACAATGCTCCCAAATGCCAGAAGCATTGATGTGGGAACGCTTTCTGGAAGTCCTCAAGGCCCAGCATTGCTTGCTTGACTGGTGGCTTCTGAGAAGACGATGTCTTTGTGCGTGATGATCTTCATGTCTATATAATGAAATCTACAAATTAATATTATGTCGTTCGAACATCCTTCAAACTCACGTTTCATTACAAATATTTAGGACTGCTTTGCTTGCCAAACTTCAGTAATCCAGAAAAAATAAAGAATATTCTTTCCTGTACAGTTTGTCTCAACAGGAAAAAAAATATGTTCAGTGTAACCGACCGTAATGTTCAACAATCAGCTAATTAAATTTAACTGTTGTGAACTTTAAAAATGCCAGAAAATATCCTACTTGAAACAAATGAAATCATATCTCATTAAAATGTGGTTCAATTTTTATTCCTACTTTCAAATCTTAATGATATGATCTGTTTTGTCTGGTTTAAATTGGTTGTGCTGAAAAGCAAGTTCTGTCTTTGGAGATTTCTATATAATTTTAACCATGTCTAATATGACTTTTTTTTTTCCTGCTACAGAAAAATTTTCAGCAACCAGTACACAAGCCTCATGATTTTATCCAACCTCAACAAGCCTTTTTTGTAATGGTTTTTGCATCAACTTTAAACTTTGGGAGAGATAAAATCATTTTTTTCAAATACCAGCATTTCAATCCCACAATGATCAAATGTAAAAACAAAAAATGTCCTATTTGATGCTTTCAGTATTAAATATCTGTTCTTTCTTCCCTGTCTGCATTCCCTTTTTCCTACTACGTTAATATGTCCATTATGATTTTTTTGCAAGCAAAGAAAGAAAAAAGATGTAGAGTGATCAAATAAGAATACAGGTAGTCCTCAATTTACAATTCATTTAGTGACCGTTCAAAGTTACAACGGCACTAAAAAAAGTGACTTATGACCATTTTTCACACTTACAACCTTTCTAGCATCCCCATGATCATGTGATCAAAATTCAGATGCTTGGCAACTGGTTCATACTTAGACCGTTGCTGTTTCCCAAGGTCATGTGATCCCCTTTTGTGACCACCTGATAAGCAAAATCAATGGGGAAGCCAGATTCACTTAACCATGTTACTAACTTAACAACTGCAGTGATTCATTTAACAACATTGGTCGTAAAATGGGGCAAAACTCACTTAAATGTCTCACTTAACAACAGAAATTTTGGGCTCAATTGTGGTCGTAAGTCGAGGACTACCTGTAATATGTTGGAGGGAGCATTTTATTTTCCTGGAGAGAGGTCCAATCTGTAAAAAAAAACCATTGAATTTTTTGTAGTTTTTAACAGAAAGAATGTTTAACTACAGAAAATGCAATATATATAACTAGCTGGCTACATTCTACCAAGAGAGGTTCAAGAAAAGTATGATTAGGGAACAAAGGCAGGAAAGAAACTCTTGACAATAGCTACCTTGTAAACAAAGAGGAGACAAAGCAACAAATGTGAAGGCAGAGGAATTTCCTAATTCTTTAATCATGGGTTAAAGCAAAAGCTAAAACTTAAATTACTTATAGCACAAGTAGGATAGCATTTTTGTTATGATGTGCAGGTTATAGTATTGAAGATGTCTGTCCCATTCCCTGTTGACATCAATAGGTGATGAAGACTGAGATATGACTGACATCTGAAGTCACAACGTAATAGTTAATCCAGGAACTTAATTTAAGTCTTTTAAACCTTAGTAGATTACTTTTGTTAGTGTCAATACTACTGTTGCACGATCCATGTAAGTGTCCTACTTCTTTCTAAAATAAAATTTTGAAAAATTCTCCTCACAAAGCCTTTCCACCGTATCGTTCAGCTATGAATGTTTTTCATAATCAAAGAAAAATTGTTTTTCTAAGACTTAAGACTAAACCCCCATTTCTTACCTCTTGGGGTTGATCTTCACTTTTATCCTTTTTAAGTTTCTCTTTTCTCTCCTTTTGTAAAATTTTTCTTTTTTCTTTTCTAGTTCTGGGATGCTTTTGGAAACCTCCTGAGCACCAGTATTTAAAAAGTACTTCTGTGAATGCAAAAAATGAGTAACATTGCATGACAAAAATCAAAATGTAAACAGCAGCACACAACATGAAAATAGTGGAACAGTTTGTCTCCTCTCAAAAGAATGTTGGATGTAGTTGTGATTGTTTTATTATGTGCTTCGTTACCGTTTTGTATTTGGTATTTATATATTGTATTGTTTATTGTAAAGACTTTTTTCCCTTCTTTGATTTCTTCTTTGTTCTTATGTTGTATACCACCCAGAGTCATAGTGGTTGACTTGGGCAGCCTTATAAATCTTATAAATAAAGAAAACATCTCCATCTTATGACAGCGACCATGGCACTACAATTATAATGCCAGAAAAGACACATTTATTCTTTCAATTTTTAAATATGTTTTCTTTTATTCTAATTACAGAACATATTATTTATAAATATCTCATTTTTGCAAAGGAATGAGAATGGTTCTCTGCTTTCCAGAAGAGCACCCAGAGGATCAGAACGATGGGAATCTGTCTTCCCAGTGCTACACATCATCTTCTGAAGTGGCTGCAAACTGATTGTGGAAGAAATGGGGTATTCAAAGGCATTTCTAATGTGGCAGGAGACTAATTTCTCTAACCACAGACAGTTCACAGAGTGTTTTTGAGATAGATAAATTCAGAGACAGCATCACTAATCTCCCTTCTGGCAAATTAGAGTTGGGTGACTAATGAATTTAAGATGATTGGGATCGTGATGATAAATACATAACCTTTGTGGCAACATATTCTCAAAATTCCGAGAAAGATTACCTACATTGTTCTAACCTAATGGTTCAACCCATAATCATCACACTGAATCCACAATCTTCAAATCTATTACTAATAAGGTGGTATAACACTTCTTAACAACCATTCCCATTTTATTTTAAAACTAAATCAACAGCATTCCTCTATCTAGGAACTGGAAAAGCATAAAGCCATTACCTTCTCTGTTTCATGCCTTTGTGGAGAAGAGACCAGTGTTTGGGGTTTTTCAATTCCCCAGCCTTCCCTAGCAGCCTTCCCATGGCTTTTCATTTTGCAGATGGACTGTCCACATTTTGAAATGAAGTTTTCATTCATATACAAAGAAGAATATGCAGAATCTTTCATTTCCTTTTGCTCAATAGGAAGTGGGAGGCTTCTTGACAAGCAACACCAAGTCAGCTGAGGCTCCGCATTTAGAGTTGGGAAGGATAGATTCAGACTTGGGATTTGTAAGTTTCCTGCATGAGATTCTATGCTTAATTGGGGCCGAGAGCAAATCTCCTTTGGTTGAGTGCACAGCACATGACAATAAAGCATATTGGAAGAGTGGCAAAGACATTTTGGACTGCTAACTGAACAGGTGGGCAAGTTTTCAAATCCTGGTAAAGGGTTAGTCTCCAATTGCCATTCCTTGACTTCCTTTTCACTACTATCACACAAAACTGCCCTTTCCACCAATGAAGAGAGTGAAATTACTGAACTCTTTGCTGATTGTATTAACTTTAAGGCTGAATTTTGCCCAGTCATGTCTGATGATAAGAAAAGCCCTCCTGTATAAATTGTGGTAAAGCATACTTTCCTCCCAGGAATGTGTGATGTGCAAGAAACTATACATTCATCCTCTTTTGTTGTCAATCTTTGATCATCTAAGTTGTCTTTACTGTCTCCTTTACATGTATCTTTAACTTTCCTGCTTGCACTTTGAAAATGACATTTTTTATCTACCATGGTTGCAATTGTTGTTGCTTCAAGGAGAGTTGGTGCAGGAGCTATCAAGGGTGTCCATGTTGTGTGCAAGTCCCATTTTAGCTCTTTTCTTCTGGCTGGATGCCTCAGATCCAACTGCAAAGGGCACAAAGTTACATCAATGGAATTACTATCAAGTAGTTTATTTTTACAAGCAGGATATGGGGAAATGGTTGAGCTGCTTGGCAATGAAACATATGGTATATTTTCTGGCTCTCTTGTAAGAAACAATGGCACACCTATATTGTTTCCTTCTTGTGAATATTTTAAGATGTACTTTGGAAGAAAATCGTTTTTTTTTAGATGAGAAATCACTTGATTTCTTACCACATGCTGAGTGTGGGTTGGTGCTGAGTCTATACAGTTTGATAATTCTTCTGTTGCTGTGCGAGATGCGAATTTTTTTATTGCAAACAAATTACTGGTGTGTTCCTCTGTTACATCAGTCTTGAATTGTTCAGGAAATGTGGTTGCAGATATACTTGCTGTATCTGTTAGACTTACAATACAATCCCTATCATTAGATACTGTTATAGAATGTTGGATTTCTTCCTCACATTCCATACTGCTACCTGAAGCAGGTGTTCCTACCATTACTGTCCATTTTTTCCCCTTAGCTGAGTCCTTTGCTGATTCTGCAGCAACTATGTTAAGATTATAACAGTCTATCAGTTTCACAACCAACTCGGTTGAACTACTATTTTTAAATGTTATATTTTCCATGTTTTTCAGTTTATCCACCTTAGGCTTCTTCCTTTCTGAGGGTAACTTCTGAGATTCATACGCCAGCTCACTGGTGTTGCACTGTGGTGCCGATAAAGCTGTGTGTCCAAGGTGGGCAGTTTCTTTCCCCCTGCATCCTTTTCTATTAGCTGCAGTATCCTCGTATTTTTGTACACATTCAGTAATGTGTCCATGTGCATCTTCTAAGTCATGATCATGCCGAGTAGCAAAGTTCAGCTGAGTTTCCTTAAAGTGGACTTTCAATTCACAGCCTTTACTTAAAGGCAAAGCTTTACTATTGCCACTCTGGTTGTGTTTTGAAACATGCAAGTCTCTGCATTGATGTTCAACAGATGACATTTCACTTGCCATGCTGTGTTGTTCACAATCACCAACTGAACACAAGGTTTCTCTTAATTCTGCCAATCGTCCTGAATTCTCCTGAGAAAAAGTAGGGTGACCAACAGGGTTAGTTTTGGAATGACTTTCCAATGTGTCAGGATTTGCTTTTGCAGTACCATCTACTAATGATGAAATTACGTTTCCAGTTTCAGAGCTTCGGCCTTCTCTCGACAATGTAACTTCCTTCCCACAGGCAGTTTCCTTGGTATCTGAATAAATGTTTGAAACATTTGTTAAATGACCTTTTTGTTTTTTGGTTGGTTGACTGCTTTTCACCTTCTGATAAATTTTCTTAAATGTCTCATCCCCATAAACTTGCCATTTTTCCTGAGAAAACATTTTTAATTTTCTCTGACTGGGTTTCTTATTCTTGCTGTTCACTCCTTCCACCCCAGCTTCAGATTTCTGTTTACCTTTTTTCTCCTCTAAAGAGGGCAAAGATTCAGTCATATAATTTAATGGCACATCATCTACTGCCACCTGTCTAACAAGTGCCCGGGGGTGGCTGTTAAGAACATTTGTCATATTTGTGTCTAAATTGCTGCTATGCAACAAGCCAGAAAAACCTACATCTGGGGATACTCTAGTGAAAGAAGACAATTTTGAACTATCTGCCTGATCCTGCATCTTCTTTGTACTCTCAATAAAAGGCAGGGAGTTACTTCTTGTAACAGGCACACAGTCAATTGTTGTTGAGAATTGAGTGGGAACTGAGTGAAAAAACAATGGCTTAGTCTTTTCCGCAGGAGTGAAGATAGATTTGGCTGAGCGCAGAGAAATATTCTTTTTCTTGCTGATGTCCAGAGGCCGTATATCAAAATGGAATGAGTCTTTGTACATGTAAGGCATTGGCAAATCAATGCTTCCTTGTTTGGATAGAACCGTTTTCCTGGGCCTAACACTGTCCAACTGGGTGTCATCCACAACTGCTTTATTATGAGATATTAGCCTTGAGATATGCTCTTCCAATCTTTTTTTCTCCAGGGTTACAGCTCCTGTTGCTTTCTCAGTTGAATCTACTTTTGAGAAACTGTAAGTCATGCATTTACTGGTGACAGCTGCATCATCTTCTGACTCTGTGCTATGTTCGCAAAGACTGTGCAGGAAGCCAGGTGAGGGTGTCTGATGTTCCACACTATCAGAGCGTGACAGATAACCAGAGTCGGTGCTCTCACACTTTTTTAGCTTGGTGTCCACAGATCTGCTGTTCCATAGCTTCTCTGAATACAGAGCTTGCTGTCTCTGTAGCTGACTATGTTTGCTTCCTGTTGGAGACCTCTGATCCTGGATCTTCTTTCTCTGAGGTAGATCTGTGGCGTCTCTGGCGCTCTCTTTTTCAAAGATATTCTGATTTATTTCTCCATGGCAGGAGTTACCCGTTTTTATCTTCTGACTTTCCGAAACAGGGAGCGTTTCAAATAACGAAGTAGCAAGAATATGTTTGTCACTGGGCTCTGAAGCAGCAGATGTAATCCTGGCACTTGGCTGGACATCATTTTTATCATGAGATTCTATGGTGTGGGAGGACGCAACTATCTCGGTCAGCTTCTCATTCTCTTCTAATAGACTACTGATATCAGATTCTGAAGGCACCCTGGCATTATTGACATGGGTCTGAGTTCTCCTGTGTTTATACAGATTGCTTTGAGTTTTAAACGCAATGCCACATGTTGTACATGGAAAAGGCCTCTCACCTGTATGTGATCGCATATGTTTCTCAAGGACACTTGGCTTCAGACAGTCACGCCCACAATGTTTACACAGGTACTTCCCAGAACCTTTGGCCTTCCCTGGGCTTCCAGCTGATGCACCTGGAGAAGAACTTTGTGGCAAAAGTGAAAAATGACTAACTATGTTTATTGTACTGGGTTGCTTCTGAATGATTGCCTGAAGTTGATCTGTCCCTTTCGAATGCAAAAGTGGATTGAGGATTAAAGGTAAATTACTATTGTCTATGTTGATATTTGTCTGGACTCTGGAAAGTTTATGGTTTGATTGAACAGGCTGATAAAAAGGAATAGTTAGCGCTTTTAAATAAACAGTTTGAGCAAGTGCTTGTTCTGGCTGAAGAATCATGGGACTCAGCAAGAGATCTGATGCTGTTGGAATGGCCTGAAGGCAGGAGAGCTGAACTGGTGGGTCTTCTAAGGAAACAGGTGGACAAGGAAGTCTCTGGTCCTCCATTTCCTTTAGATGTTCCAACACTGTATTTGGGCCTATCTGTGGGAAACAAAGAACATCTACATTTGAAATCTGAACACATTTTCCTCACTTCCAGAAATAGGTCAGGGCTACACTGATACCAAGTCACTATATGGGAACATATTAACCAATATATAAATTCATCCGTGATGAGATTTTTTAAAAGTATTTTCTTTCAAAAGTCATCACAGGCATACAAATTATTATCTAATACACATTTCTACATACGGTATTTTTCAGAGTATAAGACACACCTTTTTTGTTTTTTGTTTTTTTATAATTTTATTTTTTATTTTTTAGACAAACACACATACAAACATACAATGTATTTTCTTTGAACAGAGTATTTGGCCGGTTCACAAATTTAAACAGTGTTTAGTCATTTCAATTAAATTTACAATTTTTATATTTCCTTTTTGCCATATTTATTCCTCATCTATTTTTTTAAAAAACCAATATTACCCTTCTTCCTCATCTCTAATCTTAATCAAATTCAATTTTTCCCTTCTGTTCTATATTATACCCCTTCCCATTGTCATCTATTTTTATATCCATCCTCACATTGGTTAATTATGTAATATTACAATTGTTTAATACAAATTCAACATTTTAATATAAGTCAATTAGTTATATAACTATCTTTTTTTGTATATTAATCAATATGAACATGAATATTCCAATTATTTCCATGCAATCCAATTTCTTACAAATCAATTAATTATATTTACCAATAATAATAAACCAAATAATTTTCCCCATATATTCCTCCAAACCACAACTTAATCATTTCTGCTTCCAACACAATATACAATTAATAGTATCTCAATTATTACAATTCCCTAGTTAAATAGAGCTTTCCCCTTATGTTACTCATTTTCACATCTTAAACTCTCCCAATAACCCAAATAGTTTTGCCCATATAATCCTCCAAATCACAACTTAATCATTTCTACTTTCATCACAATATATAATTAAAAATATTTCAATTGTTACAATTTCCCTAAATTTAAAAATGTTCTAGCTGTTATCCAAGCTACAATTTAATCCTTTTTACTTTCACCACCATATACCATTAAAGATATTTCAATTGTTAGTTTTTACTAATTCATATTTCTAAAAAAATAAAAAAATAAAAACTTATCATCTAGATTTCAAAAATACAAAGACAAATATTCTAATTATTATTCATTTCATTTTTACAATCATGATTTCCCACTTATTTCTTACGACTATTCATATTTCAATTCTAAATATGTATAACATCTTTCTCTTTCATTTCTTTTTCTCCCTTCCCATTTTTATTTTTGCCTTTTTCTTTCTCCTTTTTTTCTTTTGTGTTTTAAAATCTTGAACTCTCCTCTTTTGTCCTAAATTTCCCATTGTTTGAACCTACCTTTTTTGGTGAGGAAAAAGAAGAAAAAGAAATCTTCCTCTGCCTCTGCCTAATTTTGCGACTAACAGCCAAGAGCATGCTTTACTTTCATTTTTGTTTTCAGCATAGCTTGATTAGCACAAGGGAAAAAAAAATCTGCTCCAGTAATTTACCTCTTTGCAGCAAGCAGCAGAGCCCTCTCCAAAACAGCTGAGAGCAAATCAGCTGAGAGTGGGGAGGCCGATCTAATCAACTTGTGCTAATTTTAGGCTGTGCTGAAGCTGAAAGAAGCTGTTTTTTCTTGCTGTTTGCTTGCAAGGTAACTGCTGCAAGGCACAGGCCAAAGGGTGGGGGCCAGTGGGTGGGCGGGGCTACATTTGGTGTATAAGACGCACCTAAATTTTCACCCCCTTTTAGGTGCGTCTTATACTCCGAAAAATACGGTACTTAGCAACGGATATTTTGGGCTCCACTGAGATCATAAGTTGAAGACTAACTGTATAAGATTTTATTATTTTTATTCAAATAAAAATTGTATTGCGATATACTATTTACTTGCTTGTAACAAAAATGAAGATAATATACTACAATCATTGATTTCTAAGAAATAAAATGAAGTAAAATGAAAAATCTTGTGAGATTTTGGCAGTCAAATGCGAGGAGTGGGTGGGAGTGGTGGGGTGGGAAGCAGGGCAGGGGGCGGGGCTGAATCCCACCACTGTGCGGGCCGGATACATTGTGTCAGCAGGCCGTGCCTGGCCCGCGGACGGTGGTTTGAGGACCCCTGCCTTAAAGGAATTGTTTTACAGGTCTATGCAGTGTCTTGCAACATTCTAGCAACTATTTGTCCTTTATTTTTGTGTCTGAGCCATTGCGAAACTGCGCTTGAACCCAGAAAAAAAAAACATCTTTTTGCTACATACTTATGACAAGCAACTATGTATTGTATTTGAGGCACATTGAGAAAGAACGCCAAATGTTCAGGCACCATTGGAGGGAAATGAAACTGAAGGATGGGAGCAATTAAAATTGAATCAATACATCCTCTTCTGGACTACAAATAGACATTGGCAGGATTCAATTAAGTATACTTGAAGGGCTGCTTTTAGTAGTAATCAGTTATGCACGACACAAACAAAAGATCCTCGAAAGAGGATCGGGTTTAATGAACCAAAGGTCAAAGCACCTTTTGAAATAAAATGAAGAACAATAAAGGCACAACATAATTATAATAGATATTTAAAAGACATGAATATTACATTATAATATTTAATAACTAAGTTGTTCCAAGCTTAATACGCAAAACAATAAAGAATCCAGGCAAATTGTATAGGTGTTGGCTTTTAAATAGAGTGCAATGGGAGTGATTTAAATTGTGCCAGATTCCCATTCACATCCATACAATGAAAATTATTTACATTGCATATATTTTAACCAGCATTTTGAATATAAATTACAGCAAATATTTTCCTGATACATAAGGAGAAACTATTGTTTAAAAAAAAAACCCAGTAAAATGAAATGTTCTTGCAATGGAATCGAGAGTTTTCTATTTACTCTGCAATTATTGAACAAAAATGTCTAGAAATATTCAAATTTTGAGTAATAACCGAATGCTGGCAGTACACCTGCTGCTTTTCAAAAAGTTTATTATTGGAATGTATATTAACATTCCTGAAGGACTTCCGGTGGTGACGTTACGCTGTTGTGGGGTGAACGAGCAGGACTCCGCTCATTTTCACCCAATTTTTCGTGTTTTGAGGCCCCCACGGGCGAAATTCGATCCTGGAGTGATCAAAGAAGTAGAGTGGTATCCTCAGAGTTTAATCGGAGAGAGGTGTGAGCTCCCGTTTAGCAAGAGGAACTCTCAGATCAGGCACGGAAGAAATCGGCCTTACATGGCGGATCCAGAGGCATGATGATCCGATGGTTCGAGTAGGAAGAAAAGAGAGGAAAGCAGCTCGAAGGATCAGGAAGAAGAGAAATATAAGAGACAGAAAGGAAAAACTCTCAGCGATTGTGAAACGATGTGATATATCAGCAGTGAATCAAGTCTCCTGGAAGGTGGCGATCTGGCGGTGGGAGCAGAGGCTACAAGCTGTCAAATATCGGAAAGTAACACATGTGAGGTATGAGTGGATTTGGGCTTTTTGTGAAAGATTAACTGGACTTTGATAACGGTGCCTTAAAAGAGAAAACACTCTGCATTCTAGAGAGAAATTCAGCTAGAGAGAACTACAGTGACTGTGCATATTTTAACTGAGACGACATCTCAGCAGCGGCTTCGCGGCAAGGCCAGAGTCGGGGAATGGTGCATTTCCCGACTCCGGGGAATGGGGCGGATGGGCGGAGCCGTGGGAGAAAGATAAGGACACACCGCTTGGCGATGAGAGAGCGGGCAGCGGCTCCAGGGCAAGGCTGGTATCGGGGAATGGTGCATTCCCCGACCTGGTTGAGGCAGGCGGCGAGCAGGCAGCGGCTCCAGGGCCCAAGGGAATGGCACATCCTGGGGCCTGGCCCCTGACCCAAAGCGAAGAGAGAGTGGGTGGCAGAATAGAAATTTAAAAGTTTTTCCTACCGGGTTCTGTGGGTGTGGCTTGGTGGGCAGGGGTCTTGTGACTGAGTGGGCATGGCTGTGAGTGACATTGAGTTGGCCACGCCCACTCAGTCACAGGATACCCCACCACCACCAAGCCACACCCACAGAACCGGTAGGGAAAAATTTCAGATTTCACCCCTGGAAAAAGTATATTATTCATAACTACTTTCAAATGTTATACAGTCAAAAGATTATCCTAGAATAAAATATTAAAAAGTACTTACAAGAGAGAAATGTGCCCAAGATATCAGAGGAAGCTAGAAAAATGTTAAATGATAAAATAACTTTAATAGAGATGAAGGTGGAAATTAAGAAACAAAAAAAATAATAAAACACCAGGGCCAGATGGGATCCTCGTGGAAATATATAAAAAGTTTCAAAAATTATTGGAGGAAACTATGCTAGAAATGTATAATGAAATATCAGAGCGAGCTATAATGCCAAATTCATGGACCAAGGCATTCATAACACTAATTCCACAAGAAGATACAGATAATCAATTTATTAAAAATTATAGGCCAAACTCACTGCTGAATGCTGACTATAAAATCTATGCGACAATCATAGCAGAAAGACTTTAAAATATATTAAATAAGATTATTCATTCGGACCAAAACAGATTTTTACCCAAAAGACAAATAAGAAATAACACAAGAATGAATGTATTAGAGTACTATGAAACCCACCCTGAAAAACAATTAGCACTAATATTGGTAGATGCACAAAAGACTTTCAATAATTTGAATTGGCAATTTCTAACCACACAATTAACCATTATGAAAGTCGGAGAAAAATTTATCAGAATGATCAAGGCAATATATTCAAATCAAACAGCGAAAATAATGATAAACGGAGATCTAACAGAGAAAGTCACCATAAATAAAGGGGTTAGGCAAGGATGCCCACTATCCCCTCTTCTATTTATTCTTTCATTTGAAGTTTTATTGACACAGATTAGGGAAAATCAGGAAATAAACGGGTTAAAAATAAAAAAAGAAGAGTATAAAACACAGGCGTTCACAGATGACATGGCTTTTATAATAGAAG